AAGCAGACATCGACCGCAGGGATACCACCCTAGAATGTCAGGGCATTGCTATCGGGTCAGGCGATATTGAGCTCGAAATATTTAACGTGTACATACCCCCTATCACTTGCTGCCCGGCAGGATATCACCCTGATATAGGTGTGCTCCTCAGAGGTGAAAACCGTATGGTAGTAGGTGACTTTAATGCGCATTTTGGCATTCAAACCTGTCTTGGCTGAGCAGATAGACGATTCGACATTCTGCACAATGAACGACGACGCACCCACCAGGATTATGGGCAGCTGCTGCAGCTCGCCAGACATAACAATAGTCAGCGCTGGTCTAATAAACAGCGTATCATGGCGACCTATGCTGACTTTGGCATCAGACCATCTGCCCATAGTCATCTCGATCGATAAACCATCCGACGTTGCTTCCGTGGAACACCGGACCTATATCAACTTTTCTAAAGCTGATTGGAAAGGCTTCGCGGAATTTATTGAGAGCACCTTCGTTAAGCTCCCCACACCAACCCACGTCCACCTTGGTGAACGTAAGTTCCGCAGGGTTGTCACTGCTGCTGCAGCTCGCTTCGTACCGGCAGCATGCATCACGGACCCCCGTCCAAACTTCCCTGCTAAAGCCGCTGTTCTAGACGATGAACGTGACAACCTTCGTCAGGCCGATCCCGGAAAGCTTGTGAACGTATATAAGCAGAAAAAGTGGGAAGAGCATCTCAAGACTTTCAACTTCACCTCTGGTGTGAGTAAGCTTTGGTCCACCATGAGGTCCAATCCGACCAAGCACGACGACAGGGTCGAAATTTCTTTCGGCGACCATGCTTCGTCGGACCCGGAGCGATGCGCGAGCTATTTTAGCCGGCAGTTCATACTGCATCCTCCGGCGGACAAAGCCAAGCGTCGAGTGACCAGAAGGCTGCACAAAATTCCAAATCTAGTGCGCCTCTTGTTTTCACCAGCGGTGAGGTAAGGGTAGCCATCGGGAAGGCGAAAGCCTCCAAATCCATGAGTCCCGATGGAATATGTATGCTGATGCTGAAAAACGTGGGTCCTTCGGTAGTAGCGTACCTAACGGATGTCCTCAATATGTCAATGGCCACTCTCATCACCCCAGACATCTGGAAGGTGGGGAAGGTAGCGTTGGACCTGTCACAGGCGTTTGACACCGTCTGCCACTCCACGCTACTAGAAAATATAAGAGGCTTCCTCTCTCCCACAGAGGCTCAAACGGTGGTCGGCGAATTATCTGAGTGGTCGGCACGTCAAGAGACATCTCTATGAACTGACGGACGAAGTCCAGAGGTTCATTAAACAACCTCTGGACCCGTCAGCTTATCGACAGGCCCTGAACGGCATTCACAGGGAGTCAGTCCCGAGTTATGTAGACTCCAGACCTGTGAATTCCGTTCTAGGCGCACAACCACCGGACTTCGACGAGACGGAGCTTCGTCTGCCTCGGGAGACTAGAACCGCATTAGCCCAACTTCGCTCTGGCTACTGCAACAGGTTAAACTCAAACCTGAGCAGACTAAACGCAGATGTGCCAAATGAGTGTCCGGCATGCGGAGAGACACCCCACGACTCAAAACATCTCTTCGTATGTCCGGAAAACCCACCCACAACCCTAACGCCTTTGTCCCTGTGGGCCGACCCTATTGAGGCTGCACGCTTCTTAGGGCTGCCGTTAGTAGAACTTGAAGACAACGACTGAGACATTAACCGATCTGGGCGGGGTTGTTGTAACCGCTACAACAACAACAACAACAGTATAGAACAAGTGTATGTGAAAATTAGAGGAGGCTTAGTAGTCGGATGTGTGTACATACCCCCTCAAAGTCGTATCGATGTATACATGTATACCACCTCTCAACTGTATCATATATTAGAAAAAACATCCCGATTCCAGAATAGTGATTTTTGGTGATTATAACATCCATAGCAGGTCGCCGCAATCAGAATGCGAGAAGTTGCTGCTTGAAAAGTACTATCTCACTGGCTGTCTTCAAAGCAATAAAATCCTTAATTGTAACGCCCGGATGCTGGACTTATGCTTCAGTGATCTTGAAATTTCAGCAAGCAAATCAGCACCTGTCGTAGATGAGGATAAATATCATCCGGCAATAAACTTTGTTTTAAACTTTCGCGCAAGTTTCAAGCGAAACAACACTCCCACTTATGATTTAAGAAATGCCAATTCCGCAGCCTTGCACAGCTACTTTATACGAATTAACTGGATTGATCTCTTTAAAATAATACACATTGATGATAAAGTGAAATGGTTCCATGAAGTTATATGCAATGCACTTGCCCAGTTTGTACCACTACGCAAAAAAAAAACATAATGACTATCCCAGCTGGTTCTCAATGGAACTCACAATTANAAAAAATAATATTAACCAACTAAGTACATACATACATATGTATGCACATTAGGGTGGTCCAAAAACAGCAAAGTCGGAATTGTAATGCTCTCACCCCCTAGGATTGTTCTGTATCGAAACAAGTAAGAGCAACGCTGTCTTCGGCTATGCCGAAGGCTTCATACCTTTCATGAACATCTGAAAACTTTACTATAACAGATTACTGCATTTGAAAAAATTTATATATTCACAGCACACATAGATAGAGGAGTTATATATATATAAAATCTTATCTAAACAATCAGAGGTATGGAAGATATACCTTATATACTATAGAGTTCTATTTGTGTATACGTGAATAATTTACTAACTGAGACAGTGACTCTTTTGAGATTTATCTAAACTTTGAAATTATTTATTCATTTAATGTAATGCCTTGCTCCTGTGGCAATAAAGTTGATCGTACTCAACAAGAAAAAATACAGTGCGCGAAATGCAATGAAATTTTTCACTTGGCTTGTGTTGGAATAAAGCCTGCTGATGTCGAATTTTTGCTTGCCTCGGAACGGAGTTTTTTTTGTAAAGGCTGCGCGAATGTACGCCGTGACTCAATTCGGACGCCCCCCCCTACGCCACCTGCTTTATTGGCTGATGGGCGGAATGTTGTCTCTGCTAACGCAAAAACTGCTAATACTAAATCTTACTCTCTTAATGCTAAATCAAGTGCTTTGCAAAAAACAACTGATAATAATCTCAGTGAAGCTAAACATCAACAACATCAAATATCTTTGGGCTCTTTGTACAACATAATAATCTCTCTTCGTGCTGATAATGCCCAGATGCTCAAATCGATAACTGCTTTGCGTGAAGAAAACAGCAAACTTGTGTTGAAAGCTGATAATATGCACTCTGATCTGCTTTCCTATCAAAAAACGTAGTTGGTGCTGCTAATTACGCTCTCTTGCCTACTTTGCCGATTTCTTCTACTGGCTGCCCTGCTGGCAGTACGGTGTCTCAATCTGCTGTCTCTTCGCCTGTTTCTCTTTGTGATGCTACGCAGTCATATCTCACCTATAGTGCCGCAGTCGCTAACACAAACAGTGTCAAGCTGCCTGTTGCTCTTTCTGCTTATGACGCTACTCGATCAGCTGTTACTCTTAGTGCTGCTGCGCCCGCAACCTCGGCTTTATCATCGCCTTCATCTCTTTCATCGGCCACCCTGATATCTGTGGATGTAAACAACGACACTAACACCAACAAAGCTAAGCTGCCTGTTGCCTCTCCCACAACTTTAAGTGACGCTATGCTGTCCGCTGCTCCCACACTTTTGGCTCTATCTTCGCCTTCGTCTCATTTGTCGCCCACCCAGCTGGCGGTTGATGCTAATGTAAACAACGTCACTACAGTGGAAACTACTTCTTCTGGTACTAGTACTAAACCATCCCCCACAGGTTGGAAGACTGTTGCTAATAACAAGCGCTTGAAGCTGAAACAACCGCTACTTATCGGAGCTAACAACAGTAATGAATTAAGTGTCATCCCTAACCAGAAGTGGCTACATTTACCCTCATTTTCGCCCACAGTCACCGCAGCTGAAATTATCAGTTATGTTGCTAAACATGCTTGTGTAGACGCTAAATTTCTTACTTGCTATATGTTAGTAAAGAAGGGTACTAACTTGAATGAGCTCAAAAAAGTAAGCTTCAAACTAGGCGTTTCTGAGTGCAGCTATGAGAAAGTGATAAATAATGAAAATATATGGCCTGCAAATGTCAAAATACGACCCTTTCGCTTTTTTCAAAAAGTCGATGCACCAGAACTCAAGTAGCGCAAAATTTAATGAGACGGTTGGGAGCGCTTCCAATTTGAAGTTGTACTTCCAAAACGCTTCTGGCATTCGTACTAAATCTGAATTAGTTCGCAATTTTAGTTCTCAGCTCGACTATGACGTTTTTGTTATTGTTGAGACGTGGTTGAATTCAGTTTTTAATGATAATGAATTTTTTGACGCTAACCTTTATAATGTCTACCGAAAGGATAGAGACGCTGCGAAAACTGGATGTTTAAGAGGAGGAGGTGTCTTAATTGCAGTTCGTCGCAATCTGTATTCGTATTTAGTCGCGCTTGATAATGATAATTCGCTTCTTGATCAGATCTGTGTATGTGTCACTGGCTCGTCGTTCAACGATTCCTTGTTCATCATAGCTTCCTACATTCCACCAAATAGTAAGGATGACCTTTATCATGCGCATGCTGATAATATCAACTCTCTAGTTTTGAACAAACTTGGCGACAGTCACTTATGTGTTTTAGGTGACTTTAATTTATGCAATGTGCATTGGTCGGACACTTTTTCGAACTTCGGGCTCACTCCTAACAATATAACTGCCCCGCATGAGTCATACCTCATCGATAGTCTTTTAAGTCTAAA